ATAATAAATCATCGCTCTTGAATTTTCTCGAGTCAATTCCATTTTCTCAACGACTAAACAAGTTTGACAAAACCTTGTGACAAGACCGAGAATCTTTTTTTAAATAAATAAATGGTATTCAATTTTTAAAACCAAGGAGTTTTCAATTACAAAGATTTTAATATGACAGGAACAGTGGAAATATTCCATTCCCGATACTTTTAGTGCAGCCTAGTATACTATGAGACCGCATACTATATTTTTAGAAAAATATAATAGGTGAAACTACTTAATGTTATTATGGTATAATGTTGTTATATGTTCACAAGGCAGCAAAAATATTCCTTTAAATATAATATATTGATTTGGATATATTTATTCATTATCAATTTAACAGCGCTTCAAAGTCTACTCAGCAGCACATAGGTAGGCCTTCGCCGAAGTATGTCGCAAAACGTATTTCTGAGCCACGCTCATTCATCGACCCCGCATGTGTTATAAGGTCTTCAATTAAAGTTAACCCGCAGTATTTTACCGTGTAGTAATGATGTAAGAATATCCACTACACCGTGTCATCCCGTGGGTGTCGTACGAGAAGACAGTGGGCAACTGAACTAGGAGATGGCAGCATGTTTCTAATGACAGCTGAATAAAAATAAAAATATGGTTGCCAACTTTACCAACTCGCTTGCTAAGCGTGCCAGCTATAGAAAATATCCCTCCTCTGAGGCAATCTGGGCGAGACCGATGTTGAGCAGTGAACTTTAAATAGGCAAAAAGGTAAAGGTAAATTAAATTATAAAGTACTAGCGATCCGTCCCAGCTTTGCGTGGTGATTTCTAGATCACGACAACAGCGCCATCTGCCGGGTCCGATTTGGTTTAAGCTAAACTATTGTCGAATCAACTTAATCACCGTTTAAGAGGAGTACAGTCACATACATACAAACGGCCAGAAGCATATAATATGCATGTATTATAAGTACATATAAATCTTCCCCGTGAATCATTATGTCTATTGATAAGAACCGTATCAAAATCCGTTGTGTAGTTTAAAAAGATCTAGGCGTTCTGTACGTCGTCTGTCGGCGGGACGCAACTTTGTTTTATACTATGTAGAGATTTATTTGATAAAAAATACAATACTAAAAATGTATCTATAACGTGACATAAACAGAAATAACTTAATAATTCTAGTTGTGACAAAACGGTTTGTCAAAAACCATACCAGATCTGAGGCAAGTGAAGTGACAAAGATAAGTAATATTTATCAATGGAAGGGGCACATTACACCTATCTATCTATTGAAAATACTATTTATTTTAATTTTCGTCATCTACTATATTGGAATGTAACAGCCTTAAAAACCCTTTATTTAAAATTAAATAAAAATTGAGAAATATCTCAAGCTTAAACAGATAGTTTATCTCTTGTTTCATCGTTTGTACTAGGTAATAGTTTACATACAGATTACAAATAATAAATAGCGACTCTTTTATGTATTAAAATCTCATATATACCAGAACAGCAAACAGTCTACGGCGTTCAAGTTTCCGTCAAAAGCCAAAACTACTAAATTTAGTTTTTATAGTTTCAAAATACTCATAAAATCAAATAATGGCATCTATTGTTGAATAGTACACTTAATTTGAATGAATAGTGCCACCTAGTGCTAAATAGCATAATATGTATTTTTATGCTACCTGATAATACATTCTATTAATTAACTTCACCAAGAGATGGCGTGCTTATAAAATGTATGTGTTACAAAATAAAGAACCAAATAATATCTCTATACTCTATACAATAACCTTTTACTCAAAATAAAAATATAGTTTTACAATTAATTAATTACGTTAAAGCTTCTTTATATAAAATACTTCAAGTTGAATGTTTGTAATATTTACAATCAACTCAAAATCAGCTAAATAAAACTATAAATAACTTCTATCAACAAAGAGTACCTACTTATCATTCTACTCGGATTTACGTAAAATATCCTTATAGGCATGAAATTTTAAAAGAAATATCTTCACTTTGTAAGAACATACGGAACTAATAGGCGATCCATAGGATGCAATCTATGCTTATTTATACTATAAAATGCGATCATACTAGCGTTTGTCGGGCGTGCCACCTGCAGATGTAATGTTGATGGGCCATAGCATCCACTACCAACAGGTAAACTGTGTGATCGTTTGTGACTACTTCTGTAAAAATATACAATATTGATGATGATATTCTCAAGCCTATAAGTATTGAGAAGGTGGTTGAAACACTTTCCTGTCCACTTATTGGCTCTTTTATTCCTGCAAGCTCTTCAACATGCTTGCGACTTACATGTTTCGAGACAAAAATAAGTCCCTTACCACATCTGTTGACAGAGTCGAAGACTTCTTTGTGGCATTTGGCAGCACCAGCCTATTACTAGCAACAGTACTCAGCTTACACTGAAGTTGAGGTTCAAGGAAATCTTTAATTTAATAATTAAAAACCACACAATACAAAAGATACCATTAATTTTACTGTAATTTAAATACAAGTAACGTATTTCATACTAAAAAGAATCACTACATCAAATTCACATTTTGAATCAATTTCTTAATATTTAATAATATGCTTGAGTCATGTGAACAGAACATTAGCTAGATACCTTCTTACAATGGCACTTTATAATACAATTTTGAACACAAATTTCATTTGAATTTTATGCGAGTTACAAGACAATGCTATCAGCATACATCAATAAATAAATGTAATATATTCATTATATTATATTATAACACTAGATTATGTATATCCAATAGGGTAATCAGCACACAACAATGAGGCCTTTACATACTTTCTATACATATTTTTGAGGAACCACTCAGAAATGAGGTGAAATATTTGACAGATTTCATGAAAAACCAGTTAAATTTTTAAGAAAATATAATGGTTAATGTTTCTTTCCAAAATGTTAGTTATATTTTATTTTTATTAATTAGATTGAAAATGGATAAACTAGGGATATTCCTAAAAGTAGAAAAAAAAAGGTTAAAAATGTGCAAAAAATTAAAAAGAAAACCACTGAGACATTGTTTTGTTTACATAGCTACATACACTAAAAATTGGAAATCATTTGTTTGAAATGGAACTTTTTACTTATGGTGACACTGTAACTAATATCTTCACCTCAATCCCTACTCATATGGTGAGCGGAAAATTATTTGCCCTCATTGAAATACTTCATAAAATCTTTCAAAATTAGACTTTTCTATAAAAAGTGTATGGCAATGAGTATATTAAAATCATTTTGAATACAGTAGAAACTCGATTATCCGGCCCTCAGTTATACGGATTCGCGATTATCCGGACTATCAACCGCAACCAATTAAATAATTAAGTCATATTGAGCCAATTTACAAAGTGTTTAACATATGTACTACATATCGAATTTATGCAAGCATGAAGCGTGTCGGTACTGACATTACCCCGACCGCGTCCTGCGGGATCGCGTTTCGTAACAACAATAACTAAAGGTGGGCTTATACGGGCAACTAAAATAGCTCAATTCGTCAATACTCGTCAACTATGACGTCACGACTACTTCAAGCAATTTACGGCAACGGCAACAAGCATCAATACTGCGCAATACAATATTGAGCGATATGGCGCAACTTCATCAACTAGGCAATATTGTCCTACACGAGCATTTCAGTTTTCGCTCGCTATGGACGACATTGTTCTTGCTGCGGCGGCTTGTAGCGCTTTTTTATTATTAATCAAAAACAAAAAAGAAAGAAAAGGAATAGCCGTATCTGGGTGCGATCGTTTTTGGCAAAGAGGCCTCAATTTTCATTGTGTAAAGAATTAAATGATATTTTATTCAAAAACTTTACTAGAATGTCACGAACAGACTTTGAATTACTTTTGGATAAATAAAATTTGAAATAATTTTAAAGCCGCAAAACAAACAAGTGCGAATGAGATATATACAAAAATTGCTAGGAATTTCCAAGCCCATTGGATATTTGTCAATTCGTATCTGCGACATTCAGCGATATGAAATATCTGGAGCAATTAGAAGCAATATCGACGAAATAATCGCCGCAATTTGCTCCATTGCTTTGAAATTGCTCCATTAATTGCTCCAGATCGGTCCATTCGTGTCGCCGAGCAATTATTGTCCTCGTGTAAGCGCACCTTAAAACAATAACAAAACTTTTGTTATTGTTCTAGTTAGCTAGCAATTGTTACTCCGCTCTGACCTGCGTGTCTAGTCTAAATATTTAAAAATGTCAAAGCATAAGAGAGTGGTGTTATCGCTTAAAGACAAAATAAATATTATTGATTCATTAAAAAAAGGAGAAACTGGTCGTAAGTTAGCTGATAAGTATGGTGTAGGTACATCCACAATAAGTGATATTAAGAAAAATGCCGATTCAATTTTGTTGTACACTTGCAAATTAGATAGTGAAGACGGGAGTAAACATCGGAAATGATGAAGAAACCGAAAAACGAACTTTTAGAAGACGCTTTGTATTGTTGGTTTTTACAAAAACGATCAACTGGGCAAATGATATCTGGCCCTTTGCTTTGTGAAAAAGCATTACAGTTAAATAAAAAATTAGGTGACGGCGGCTCGTTTGTCGCAAGTAACAGATGGTTATATAGATTTATATCTCGTCATGGAATTCGTGAATTAGAAATACAAGGTGAAAAAATGTCAGCTAACGTAGACGCAGTAAACTCATTTAAAGATGATTTTAAGAAGAAATTGGATGAAAATAACTATGACGTGGATTTCGTTTATAATGCTGATGAAACTGGAAATCATTACCTTCAAAATCTTTAGCTTCTAGGCGAGAGAATTCAGTTCCAGGATATAAAACTAGCAAAGAACGAGTAACAATATTAGTTTGCGCTAACGCTACCGGTACCCATAAAATACCTTTGCTCCTCATCGGAAAATCAAAAAAACCTAGATGTTTTAAAAATATCAGGGTGCCCTTAATTTATAAAAATCAAAAAAGCGCATGGATGAACTCCGAAATATTCATTGATTGGTATGACAACACTTTTATCCCTGAAGTAAAAAAAAGACAAAACGACATTGGCAAACAAGAAAATCTATTACTTTTACTGGATAATGCGCCAACCCATCCTTCGGCTGAACTGTTGGAAAGAGAAAATGGAAAGTTTAAAGTAAAATTTTTGCCTTCTAATGTGACATCCTTGCTGCAACCAATGGATCAAAGTATTATTGAAACATTAAAACGAATTTATAGAAAACAACTTTTACGAAGGTTGTTATCTGTTGATGAAGATAATGTAGAAGTCGTTTTATCATTTTTTAAAGAAATGAATTTAAAGGAGTGTTGTTACATGGTTGTAGATGCGTGGGATTTGATTGAAAAGAAAACTTTAAACAAGGCTTGGAACAGAGTACATAATCGGGAGAATGAAAATTTAATAACCAATATGGATGATTCTATTTTGGAGGATATAAATGACCTAATGTTAAAGATACAAATATGCCAGGATTGTGATGAAGATGACATGAAAGAGTGGATCACTTGTGACAGTAATGATCAAGGCTTTCAGATTATGTCGGATGACGAAATCGTAGAAAACATATTGCAGATAAATGAACAGCAGGAAATGCAAGAAGATGAAACAGAAGAAAATATAGACATTGAAAATGATGCAGGACCATCTCATGATGAAGCACTTCAGGCCCTGGAAACGGCTCTCAGTGGTTTGAAAAACAAACAGAGAGTGATACTGTGAGTTTACTACAGCTCAAACGAATTTGTGACATAGCAGCAATAAAGAGAAAAAGTGGTTTACATCAAATGACAATTACCAAATACAAATTACCAAATACACATTCTAAACAAATTATATGTAGGTACATATGTATCTATATATTTTATTTCATAATTGAGGCTGCAGTATTTTAGTATGTATGTGTGTAATCTAAGAAAATATGTATGTACACAAATAAGTGCATACATTGTATATTAAAAAATGTATCTCTTAATAAACATTGATTTTCGTTGATATTGTTGTTTTTAATAAACACATATCATTATGTATGTATGTACTACAAATGCACAAAACCTGCTTTTCTTCATACATTCGATTATCCGGATTTTCGATTATCCGAATCCCTAATGGCAACAATTAGTCCGGTTAATCAAGTTTCCACTGTAGTTAATTTAAATTTAAATTTAAATAAAAACAAAGTAAGTATTGAGACACTACTTAAAGTAGCAAACTTAAATTACAAAAAGATGTAGTAATTTATTAGTGATAGTATCAACTGATTGTATGAAAAGTCTTATTCATGGTGTTATAATGTTCCCCACACACGGTCCATTTAACTGATCATTCCAACTGATCGGTTCAAACTAGGATTGTTGATATTTTTTTAAATATTGGATTTTCGATATATTGATAATTATAAATATATCACTATCAGAGTTCTATATATTCTATTTATCGATATATCGAAAATCCAATATTTTAAAAATATCGACAGTCCTAGTTCGAACTGATCAGTTGGAATGATCAGTTGAACTGACCCTGTGTGTCGTCCATTAAACTTCAATATCAGAAAATTGTAATAATTTTATAAATTTACTATAAAATTTAATTTTTCATCATTTGCATTTCATCTAGAAAATAAATATTGTTTAATTACACAAACCAGAAACACAATATTTATTACAAAAAGCATTTCTGTTTTCAGAATTTCCTTCACTTGTCTTCACAATTATTTCTGGACATAAACTTCAGAATTGTCATGACTTTCTCTTTTCAGCAGTGCTCAAAATGCAAGTTAGAGAATGCAATGGCCACCCGAAATTAACTGGCAGAAAAATGTTTAACATGGGAAATTGTCTTATATTAGAATTGTTTAGTTTTTTATAAAAAATATTGTGTTTTGCATTTTATATAACTATACAGTCAATATTTTCTGGATGACCATCCTTGATTTTTTATGTATATTATGTTTAAAATGTTATTTATAATCTGGCAAGCATGATTCAAGCAGCATCTACATAGAATTTGGACATGTTGTCTATAGAAACTGACATTATAGGAGTCTTTAAATAAGTCTCTACACTGAACACTGATCATATCTAACAAAAAAACTTTCTCTGTTTCAATAGTTCACTGTCATCATCACTCTCAGAAAAACATGCTGCAAAGCCACTTTTGTCTCTCAAAGAGTCTCTTTTAGACTGTCTACTTTTATCTAGACTTTTTTTTAACTGAGTACATCTCCCAGATTGACGTTTCTTTCTGTTCTGTGGCCGTGCCACGTTCACCACAGCTTCTGAACTAACTTGTTCTGTGGAGTTGCTGAGAACAAGCACAGAATTTTCAGGTTGTCTCACTTTCAAGCCTATTTTTCTACCACTCCTTGTTCGTGAAATAAGTTCCTCTTCTGGGTTTTCTTTCCTATCAGAATTATCATATTCTTTACTTATTTTCTTCCTTCTAACTGTAGTACATTTTGCATGATTATTTTTTATAGGACTCGCAATAGCGCTACTTTCAGCAGTGTAGTTTCTATGCCTTTTAGGATACCTAGATGTGCTGTTAGTAAGAATTGATATATCTAAGTTATGGTCGGTGTGTTTTATGTCATTATCACATATACTCTCTTTACTGTTACTTTGTTTTGTTTCCAAAAATTTTAATAAAGAAGTAGCTCTACTCACCCGTGTAGATTTTTTATTGCTTTTTATGGTTACTAAATTAATAACATTTTGTGACGAATCTGTGCTACAGATTAAATTGGTAGAATCGGGAAGCCCAGTGTTCATAGACTTATTCACACACATAATTGTTTTTGTATCTCCCTTTTGTGGGCTTTGTTGGGATTCCTGTATGAAAGTTTTATTATTTTTCATATTTCTTGGAGCTTTTATTGCCTGTATTTTAGTAGACCTAATGTAATTGGCTGTTAAACCAGAAACATCACTCATATCTTCAAATTGCCCATTGAGTAGCATTTCTTTTTGAGGTTTTTTATTTGAGTTAGTATTTGGTTTAATAGAACTTTGATCTGTTACCTTATCATTCTTAGAATCATGTTTTTTTTCATTATCCAAAGGTTTGTTAGGGTTCTTTGGCGTTGTAGCTTCTAGGGAAAATATTCCATTTATAACACTTTTATTCATCATTTCAAATGACATATCCAGTTGACTAATATTATTTAAATTCTGTTTACATTTTCGGAGGCTCCGTCTAAGTGTTTTCACATTTGGTGTGGAAGTAAGCATTTTATTTTTTTTTACTAAGGACATATCGTTATTCGGCTGTAACTTCATTCTTTTTGGCTTGCCCTGTATAGAAGAATTCTTAATATTAAAGTCTATATCTGAACCTATTGAGCTTGGCTTACCATTGCTCATGACAGTCCTCTGATTTTGACCCTTGGTTGTGTTAAAGTAAATATTTTGCTGTATTTCAATGGAGCCTGAATCATCATCAAGTAGCACCAGCTTTCTCTTCTTTCTTTTCTTAGGTGAAGGCACTTCTTTAACAGTGATATTTTTAGGCTTAAATTTTGAACAATGAGCTTGTTCATTAGGTTTATTGTTTATTTTGTCATAATTGTAAAGGCATGGTGCCCGTTTAGTCTGCACCCAATAGGCAATCTCTTCCATATTGCTCATAAAGGGATTGTCGGAGGGTTTGATATGTTGGCTGTTGTTTTTAGGAGATGGGACCATACCAGACTGAATTTGCTTCCCATCAGATGAACAAGGCACTGCAGTGGAGACACCCAATTGCAAGTAGCTCTCAGGAGCATATCGCCGCTTCCGCTTGATTCCAGATGTCGCACCCGCTGTTGCCGCTTTAGTACGTTCAAATCCATTGTCTTCACATTCCATACACCTGTAACATTTTTTTAGTATGCTATCTGTTATTTATGGAATAAAATATACCGATTCAAACGTAAACCTATAAATTGTATTGTTGCAGGGTTGAAGGTAATAAATCTGCAAATAAAACAAAATTGTTGGAACGTTTGACAACCCAAACCGGAGTAAAAATATTGACGCAAGTTCAGATTTAAATTTAGTTTAGAAAGGTTTATAGGCAAAGAAATTATACTAAATGGTGAATGACAATATTTCGCACATAAATTAAAGTAGGAATACCTAATGTAAAATTACGTCTTACAGCTAACGCGTTAAAAAATATTGAAATAAAGATAGCCATTACCTTAGGAGAAAATGTAAGTCCCGAATAAGTAACTTACATTACACTAATTTTAAATCATGGAATATGATAATAGCTACGTAATTTATTAAAAAAGGATTAGAAGTTTTTACAACGCATTAAAATATTCTGCAAAAACAAAAATAAATTAAATGAATATTGATAGACCACAGACCAGTATGTTGTTGAAAGTTAATTTATTTTTTATTTATTTATTTAGATGGCTTTACGGCTCTGGGTACTAGCCCTTCTGAGCCTATCATTTCTTTCAGAATCTTCATTTTATATCGTCGGTGATACTGCACTGCAATACATTCCATGTCAAGATTAAAACGATTTTGTTTTTTAATAAAAAATGATCAAGTGCGTCTATCCGAATTCACATAAAAAACGTTCTAAGTCGTCCGCCAATCAGAAGACAGTTTTCAATGTGTTGCAATATGTCACGTGTTTAGACTGTCAGTTGTACGGGAACTGCATATGTTCTATGTCGGCCCAACGGTTTTTTGTAAGCTAATTAATTTGAAAAATATTGGTTTCCAGTAAATATTTTAAGGTAAGTAGATATAAAACTATAATTTTATTCTATTTCATCGTACTACAACTAAAAACAACGTAGAAAGCGAGTAAAAAATTTATATTTTATGCGAAAACCAGCGAAAACATTCTTTGTGTATAAATTTCAGCATTCTTGCTTAATACGTTTACTGTGTTAGTTTATATTGCTACTGTTTCAAGCTTCATGTTTCTTCGCGTTTATTGAAATGTTTATTTAGATAGTAAAACATAATTTTAAATTTGGACAAACTGACATAGAACTTATTGAAATAAAAATGATTTTTGTTTTGGTTGACATAGCACATATTGCAACATAATCTTATTGTATAATTCTTTTTTTAAAAGCAATGGATCGCTGCTACCGTGGAAGACGTATGGTCCAATTATCACTTCAGCAAAACGAGTCTTTGGTGGGAGAGTCAAGTTCAGGGACTGCTTTGGACGAGAAAACTGGAGAACTTAGCAATGTTGCTGGAGGGATATTGCCATCTCCAAGTAGTACAGATTCAAATAATTGTTCTTTAGATTTTTCTAAATCAGAGTTTGACTACGTTCCCAGTGAAGACAGTGACATGACATTTTGTGAAGATAACATGTCTGGTGGTGAAGAATTATTACTATATCCTGCTACCGGTTTGTTTACTACGGCACAAAATGGTGGCGGTCGAGCAAAAAAACGTCGCAGCCGAGGCCAAGATGATCGATCGCAATGGAAATGGCAGAAAAATGCAGAAGCAAAACTAAAAGGAGAAGCATACACAGGTTTCAAAAAAGGTGAAAGGGGAAAGTATGTACAAATAGCATGTAAATCAGCAAAAAGTGCTACTTTGTCTAAATCTTCAAGCTTCGGCAACTTACTATAAGACAAAGTTAAAGGTACATAATTACACTATTTATAATATGAAAAACAAAGAAACTGTATATTATATTTGGCATGAAGGAAATGGAGGTTTAGAAAGTGATGTATTTGCCACTAATTTGTCTAAACACCTTAAGCATGATATTGATAAGTTTAAACCAACTAAAATCATACCTTGGAACGATGGATGTGGTTATCAGAACCGGTGCTTGACTTTAGCTAATGCTTTGCTTAACTTGGCGATTGAAAATAATGTTATAATTGAACAAAAATATCTGGAAGTAGGCCAGACACCAATGGAAGTTGATTCAATTCATAGTGTAATAAAAAATAAATTGCGTGGTCGAAAACGTGATATTTTTGTTCCTCCTGACTATGTGAGCATAATATGATTATGATTCTGGTAACTATAAATTTGTCAGTGACGCACATGGCTGTAGACGATGGCTTGATCATTGCATTTTCACACAAGCTGCTTTTGACACTATAACTAACATAAGAATATTTTATGATGTATTCTGGTCTGATCATTGCCCCTTTATTGTTGAGTGCAGGTTATACACTATTAAAACGAAATTAGAAGTTGGATAAAATCATGTAACAAAGTAATATGGGGCGAAAGGGTCAGTGATCAAATCGAAGTATATTATGATTTATGTAATAACAAATTAATGTCGCTTAAGGTACCTGAGGAACTTAGCGTATGTTATAATTCACACTGTAACAATACCCATCATAGGTTAATGCTTGATGAAATGTACAATAATATTGTTACTATTTTATCTGAAGCCGCTATACAGAGTTATGATGACCATAGATGTTATAAACATAGTGGTCGTATTGTAGGTTGGAACAGACATGTGAGGGAAGCACATGTGATGGCTAGGTTTAAATATCGCATATGGCTGTGGCATAACAAACCAAGTAGTAGTCCTATATATGACGATATGTGCCGAACACGTAAAATATTTAAGAGCAAACTAAAATGGTGTCAGAACCATCAAGAGCAAATTCAACTCGATATCATAGCATCACATCGTAAGGCAAATAATTTCAAAAAATTCTGGAAAGCCACCAACAAACTTGATATTAAGCCTACCCTGCCTGTGTGCGTTGGAGGTGTAAATAAACCTATTAGCATAGCTAATATGTTTGCAGAGCATTTTAGAATAGAGTCGTTGCTAGTTACATCGCAGCCGATGCCCGGAGATGAGAGCTATCATGGCAGTCATGACTTCATTCGTTTTACACCTGAACAAGTGGCAGCTGCCATTAAAAATATGACTAGGGGGAAATCTCCCGGCCATGATTCTCTCAGCATCGAGCACCTGCAGCATGCCGGACCTCACCTGCCTCGATTACTCGCTACGTTCTTCTCTTCATGTCTCTGTCATTCGTATCTGCCTCACGACCTTATGCGGACAATAGTTGTGCCTATAATTAAAAACAAAACAGGTGACGTAGGAGATAAGTGTAATTATCGACCTATATCTTTGGCAACAATTATGGCTAAAATATTTGACAGCCTGTTGGATACACAGCTGGAAAGTTATATTGAGTTGCACGATGCACAGTTTGGGTTTCGGTCTGAATTGTCTACTGAGAATGCTATCTTAGCCCTAAAGCACACTGTTGAATATTACACAAAGCGACGTACACCTGTATATGCATGTTTTTTAGATCTCTCCAGAGCTTTTGATCTTGTAAATTATGACATATTATGGGATAAGCTACGCCAGAAAAAGATTCCAGCTGAGCTTTTGAAGATTTTTCAGTACTGGTACAATAATCAGTATAATAATGTGAGATGGGCCGATAAGTTCTCTGAAAGGTACAGATTGCAATGTGGGGTCAGACAGGGAGGAATTACGTCACCAAAGTTTTTCAACCTGTACATAAATGACCTAACCGTTGAACTCAGCAGCAAAAACGTCGGATGTCGTATCGACGATGTAAGTTTTAACAACATAAGTTACGCGGATGATATGGTGTTGCTGAGTCCCACGGTTAAGGCCACCAGAGAACTCCTTAAGATATGTGAGAAGTATGCGTTAAACCATTGCTTGCGATACAATGGTAATAAAAGCGAATTCGTGGTGTTTAGGGCCGTTGGCTGTAAAAGCCCAGAAAATGTGCCTGCAATTAAATTGAATGACATTGAATTAAAACGCGTTGATAAATTTAAGTACCTAGGGCATTTTGTTACCGATGGCCTAAGTGACAATGTTGATATTGAAAGAGAACGTAGGGCGCTGGCAGTCCGATGTAATATGTTGGCACGTAGGTTTGCGCGGTGTAGTGAACAAGTAAAGATAACACTATTTAAAGCGTACTGTCAAGTTTTCTACACGTGCAGCCTGTGGTCGAATTATTCACAGCGGACTGTCGACACCTTACGTGTTCAGTATAATAATGGCTTCAGGATCTTGTTGGGGCTACCCCGATTTTGCAGTGCATCAGGCATGTTTGCAAAGGCGCGTACAGACGACTATTACGCCCTTATAAGAAAGAAAACAGCCTCGTTGCTTGGCAGGGTGCGGGATAGCTCCAACTCCATCATGAGAATAATTGCTGAAAGATACGACTCATTCCTCCTTAGGCAATATTACCGCCTATGTTTAGTTAATAAGGCGCTTATATTTAAGAATTAGATTTAGGTACTAACATAGGTACTAACATAAGTTCCAAATTTACTAACAAATTTTATGGATCACTTGGTTATCTGAAATAAAATTATTATTATTATCTGGGTATCTGTATAGTTTTCTCATCTGGTTGGTTTCTATAAATATATAATTATAAATTAAAATGAAAAGATAAATATACATAAATATCAATAAAATACAAAAAATACACAAATAAATAAAGATCCAACCAGATGGAAGCCCTCGGCAGGGGAGACCAAACGGCCGAGGGTTAGGGGGAAAGGGAAAGAAACCGACGGACGATGCGGGCGGTATCGAGGACCACTGCCTTCTGCATTTGAGCCCGGAGCGGTCCGTCACGGAGTCCCAGTCGCCTCAGATGACCCGAGAGGCTGACTGGGATTAGCCCATTCGCAGAGACGACTACAGGAATAATTTCGGTCGGCCAACCACCCCACATGTCGGTCACCTCGTGAGCCAGGTCCAGATATTTTGTTCGCTTATCTGTTTCGGCTTTCACGAGGTTCTCGTCATACGGAATGGTAATGTCGACCAAAAATATCCTTGACTGTGCCCGGTCCATCAGCACAATATCAGGCTTATTTGCATGAATAGTCCTGTCTGTGATGATGGCCCGGTCCCAGTAGAGCCTGGCGCGGTCATTTTCGAGCACGGCTTCCGGCAAGTACTTGTAATACGGCAATTTCCGGTCCACGAGACCGTATTTCAGAGCGAGCTCCTGGTGTAGTAATTCTCCTAGTAATTCTGGCTACTAGGTTGTGCCTGTGCAAGTACTCAGAGTTAGAAAGCGCCGAACAACCGGAGATGACATGCCTAAGTGACTCCCCGGGATGGCGACAAGCTCGACAGACGTCGACGGTGCCATCCTTTAGGATGTATCTCCGATAGTTGTTGGTCTTAATAACCTGATCCTGTATTGCACAGACAAAACCCTCGGTTTCTCCGAAGAGGTCACCGAAACGTAGCCAGTTGAGGGAGGCGGCTGTATCTAAGAAGGGCTCATGTAGAGCCCTGTAGTACCTCCCGTGGAGCTCCTTCTCCTTCCATACGGTCTCCGGTCGGAAATGCTAAGCACTGCTGGGTCCTGCCATTGCTCGTTGGCCAAGGATAGAGGGGTAAGCCCTTTATCACTAGAAATGACGTCATTATAGAATGGATCATCCGATCTCGCCAGGAAGTAATGACGGAGGCTGCACACTTCACGATTATGCATAGTTAGAGCGCTCAGAAAGCCACGCCCACCATGCTTTCGCGGCAAGTACAGCCTCATTACCGACGATCTCGGATGATGCATCCTATGGGACGTCATGGTAGTGCGGACTTTTCTATCCAGGGCGTTAAGTTCAGTCTGAGTCCACCTGAGTATGCCAAAGGTATACATAAGGACAGGCATGACCCAACCGTTATATGCGTGTGTCTTATTCACACCGGACAAAAGGCTATTAAGCACTCTGGTCAAGCGTGCATAAAACACGTCGCAAACTGACTGTTTCATACCAGCCTCACCGATACCGATGTTCTGTGACATACCCAGGTATCGGTATGTTTCAGCCTCGGAAAGGGTCCTTAAGTTGACGGGCATAGATAAATCTATGCCCTCAGAGTTAGCAACCCTTCCCCTCTCAACATGGAGGACCGCACACTTATCCGTCCCCAGCTCCATTCCAATGGAACTGCTAAACTCACAAGTGATTTTTAGCAATTCCATAAGATGGGAGCAACTGGAGGCGAATAACTTAAGGCCATCCATATAGAAAAGGTGGGTCACTTTTGTCCCTCCTTTCCGTAGCTGAAATCCTCTCCCGGATCCCTCCAGTAAGGTACTGAGAGGGTTCAGGGAGAGGCAGAACCAGATTGGACTCAGACAATCGCCCTGGAAGATATCTTCTTATCCTTATGTGGTTCTCCGCAGCCATCATCCGCTCACCCAGATGACAAAGGATCGTACTCCACTGCCCCATATACTGCTCAAGGAAGTCTCTCACTGTACAGTCTATCTTGTACAGCTCGAGGACTCTCCTTAGCCATGTATGGGGCACCGAGTCGAATGCCTTTCTGTAGTCTATCCAGGCGGCGGAGAAGTTCCGACGGTTGCGTTTCACCACTTTGCCAATGACCGCGTCAATGAGGAGTGGTTCCTTAGTTCCACGACCACCGCCCCGACATCCATTTCGAGCGCGTGACATTATCTGATTTAGCTCCAGGTGACGAGCGATTCTCGCACTCAAAATGGATGTCAGTGTCTTATATATGGTGGGTAGACACGTAATGGGGCGGTATTTGCTCGGGTCTGTGGTAACCTGGTCTTTAGGAACCAAATGAGTGATCCCAGTAGTGAAGAGGCTAGGAAGCGACTTCTGGTTGAGAGCCTCTTGAAACTGACGGGCGAGCACAGCGTGACACACCATGAACCCCTTCAGCCAGTAGTGATGCAGTCCGTCGAGTCCCGGACTTTTCCAGTTCGGGGCTCTACGGACCGCCTCAGCTACGTCATCCGGCGTTATGATGACGGGGTCCATGGGCGTAATACTCGCACACTGACTCGCCACAACTTCCGTCCAAGGGCCCTCGCTGTGGTTTACGGGCTCTGACCACAGGTCACGCCAAAATGCGACAGTGTTAGCCTGGTCCGGTCCTGGGCCCGCTCCACATACCTGTGGTCGCTCCAATGATTTGTAGAGCCTCTTCTGATCACTCTGGAAGAGACAATTCTGGTTGAACCGCCTTGACCTCTCGGTAAATCGGCGAATCCGCTTCCCCCAAGCAACAATCTTTTGCTTCAGGTCGTCTTTGCGCTCCGTTAGTTTCTGCGTGATATCCGGCATTATTATTATTATTATTATAATTCGGTCAGCAAGGCAAAATCCCGAGCCTTATAAAGTATTTTACTTAACTTACAAGGACTTTCATTGCTTTTCTCAAGGTAAATATTATAAAAGTTTGAGACCGGGCAAAAAAAATGTGATCCTTATGTTACAGATATTGTAGCATTACAATACGATACCTGTTACGGATCGCCGTAACGCCGTTCGAAAAATGAATAAAACGCGTTGTTCTTATATAGGAGGCAAGCGGCGGTGAGGAGGAACTTGTACTTTTATTCTTCTTGCAGTGCTTTTTCAGTGGCTGGAGAGTGACGACGGACCCTACCGGTCGGTCCGTCTTTTATATGATTCGGCCACGGCTGGCCAGCGGACCCTTGCCTCACCCCCCGCGCCTTTCTTTATTTATTTAAAATTTTTATTTATTAACAATCATATTTACTTATATAATATTTTTACATCTAATTCTTATATTATTATGTACACAATAATTATCTTACACTCTAAAAGGTTTTAAACCTTGTAATTTACAATTTTTAAGCTGAGAACCCTGCCCCGCACCTCAGCACTATAAATATAAAACGTCGTGACGCCCTACGCGTAGCTTCATTAATTTCGCGGCCGTATCACAATAACATGCCCTGATAAAGTTATAATTATTTTAAGAAAGGTAATTTATATGAATGGTAATATGTATACAATAAAGATGATATGCAACAAAGGTAAATTAACTATAAGAGTACAATTTATATTTTTAAAATCTATGCTAACTCTCGTTATTTATTCGATGCCTTTATTGGGAGAGTTATTTGCATAGTTACAACATCATTCTTTCTTTATTATCTTATTCTAAATCTTATATTAATATAAGTTATACATATTTAACAAATTAAATACAATAACCAAGACTACGGCTGTTTTTCTGTGTTGTTGTATGCACCCTCGCTAGTTGTCGAACCTCGCTGGTCGCGACCCCCGTGGCTCCGCCCACCGCCCCTGAGTTGCTCAACCAGTGCTGGTTACACTAAGCAGGTATCTCGTCGCTTGCGTCGTGCATATTCTCCCGCCGTCGCCACGCTGCGATCCCTCTGGTAGCACGACGATCTTCTTTGTTGGTCTGCGTAGTACATGCCCACTGCTAGTGGTTACGTCCACTACTCGTACCTCTCCGTCGACGCCGGGATACACGTTGCTTATTTTTCCCCTGGGCCAGATGTTGCGCGGTAGATTGGAGTCACAAATGATGACCAGGTCTCCAATCTTTGGTGATGCGCCTATGCTGCTGGGCTCCCGCCGGTGTTGGAGTAGGGGCAAGTATTCCTTCACCCATCTTCGCCAAAATACGTCTGCTAGGGCTTGAGCTCGTTTCCACTGCTGGCGGGCCGTCACGTCGCTCTTGCTGAAGTGTCCCGGTGCAGGTACATGTGAGTTGGGACCGATGAGGATGTGATTCGGCGTGATGGCTTCCGGGTCTCCTGGGTCAACTGAGACGTGTGTAAGAGGTCTTGAATTGACCGTGTTTTCGACCTCGGCGAGCAGGGTCACCAGTGTCTCGTCACTGGGATAGCGTTCGTTGAGGGTGACGCGTAGGGCTTCTTTCACGGAGCGAACCATTCGCTCCCAGGCGCCGCCCATGAATGGTGCTGATGGTGGTATGTACTTCCACACAATTTGTCGACATGTGGTTTCGTTCTCGAGGGCTGCGAGTGCTGCTTCGGCCAGCTCCTTGTCGGCTGCCTTAAAACACGTAGCGTTGTCACTCCAGATTTCTTTTGGGCATCCTCTTCTGCTCATGAAACGCCTAAGCGCTGACACAGCTGAGTCGGCGCTTAACGAATGGGCCACCTCTATATGTATTGCTCGTGACGTCATGCAGGTAAATAACGCGCCATAGCGTTTTTCACGATGTCGTCCCACTGTGACTTCTATTGGCCCGAAGTAGTCCAGTCCGGTGTATGTAAACGGACGTGCGTGATGAGCGAGACGCGCGGACGGCAAGTTTCCTGTAGACGGTGATGCAGGTTTGGCTTTTCTTAGACGGCACGGTAGGCAGCCTTTGATAACAGTTTTTACTACTGGACGTATTTTTCTTATGTACAATCTCTGTCTTAATTCGTTCACGACTGTTTCCACGCCTCCGTGATGTAATCTCTCGTGTACGTGTGCTATGTACAGACGAGTGTATGCGTGCTTCCCGTCTAGTATGGGAGGGTCATACGTGTCCTCCTCTACCTCTGATGCTGCTTTTATTCGACCTCTGAGGCGTAGGGTCCCCTCTTCGTCGATATATGTGCTCAGGTGGCCTAGTTTGTCATCACCTCCTGGAACACTTCTGTTGGCGATCCTCTTGAGCTCCTTCGCGAAGCTTTCCCGCTGACTGGCTTGCACCCACAGTTGTTCGGCTCTTATATGATAAGCGGCTGGTATTCCTACAAGTGATGAGACAGTAGGTGTTGCCCTTTTCTCCTTGGTGGGGTTGTTGCGTCGGTTTGTTCTTTGCCAGCCGGGGTCGCTATCTTGTCTTGCTTTGTTGCGTTTGCGCCCAGCCTTCACCACGTGCTTGTTTGGTCTGCACATGTCGATGAATAGGAGGACTCTCGCTGTCGTCCTTATGAGGCGAATCCATTTTGAAAATCTTTCTATTTGTGGCAGATGTGTTGTTGGCGAGTCTTCATTTTTAACCGTGATGTTACATATTTCTCGTTCTTCTCCGGTGTCGTATTGTGTCGTTTTTTCTTCCTGCGGCCATTCGGCCGGTGGACGTTGTAGAAACGGGGGCCCTCGGAACCACCGGTGCGACTCGTCGAACCTTTCTGGCGTGGTTCGGGTCGCGTCGTCTGCCACGTTTTCTTTGGACGGTAGCCAACGCCATTCGTTCTTTTTGGTCGTATCTTCTATCTCCGCCAGGCGATGAGCGACGAAAGCTTTGTATGCGCGGGGCTCCGACCTTATCCACACTAGTGCAGTGCGAGAGTCGCACCAGTATGTCTTGCCCGCTATATCGTCATCGTGCTCACTAATCACGGTCTGCGCAAGACGAGCTCCCAGTAGTGCTGCTTGTAACTCGAGCCGTGGTATGGAGACTGGTTTCAGTGGTGTCACGCGGCTCTTGGCGGCGGCCAATGATACGTTGACGCTGCCGTCCGCTCGCTCCGTTCTCCAATACACGGCGGCTGCGTAGGCCTCCTCGCTTGCGTCGACGAATGTGTGTAGTTGCCGCGTTGACACTGGGTTGTAATCGTAGCATCGCGGTATTCGCAATTGTTCTAGGGCGTGAAGTGAAGTAATCCAGTCTTCCCATTTTTCTTTTAACTCTATTGGCAGAGGGTCGTCCCATTCCACCTTGTAACGCCATGTGTCTTGGAATATTCTCTTCGCTGGGGTAGTCACTGGTGATATTAACCCCAGTGGGTCAAATAATGCCATTATTATGCTCAGCGCTTCACGTTTAGTTGGCAAGCGTTGTTTCTCTTTTACGTCGATCGGCATCTTCATATTGTTTGTATTAAATCCAATATGATCGCTTTGTACATGCCAGAGCAGGCCGAGCGTCTTCTCAGTTTCTCTTCCGCCCAGGCGCACGGTCGCGTCGTTTTGTTTATGCTCTGTCGTTATCTCTTCTATTGTTTTTTCTTCGTTCGATGTCCACCCGCTGAGTACGAATCCCGCTTGTTTGTGGACGTGATCGACTGCTTTTACAGTTTGTTGAGCTTCCGTGATAGAGTGGAAGCTCTGCAAGTAGTCGTCCATATAGTGATTTCTTTTTATGGCGACCGCAGCTTCGGGGTATGTCTCTGAATGTTCTTCAGCATTTTTATTTTTGATGTATAGTGCTGTGCATGGTGATGATGTCGCTCCAAAGATGATCGATGTCATCCTATATTCCTCCGGTTGGCCCTCCCGCCGCTTGCCTCTCCACAAGAAACGTAAAACGTCTCTATCTTCTTTGCGCACTTTGATCTGCATAAACATTTCTTTTATGTCGGCGCTCACTGCATACGGATACTGTCGGAACCTCATGATTACTCCGGGCAATGATTGTAATAAGTCCGGCCCCGAGTGAAGCATATCGTTGAGACATATTCCTGCTGTCTTTGCGGCGGCGTTGTGTACCAATCTCGGCGGCTTGTTAGGTTTCGCAGGGTTGATGACTGGGAAGTGGGGCAGATACCATGTCTTTCCTTGTGGCGGTGGCATGGGTGCGCGTTCTGCGTAACCCGAGTTGAAGAGGTTCTGTATGCGTTCTTCGTATTGTAGCTTGAGATTGCTGTCTCGGTCGAGCCTCTTCTCTAAAGTGTGCAGACGTCTTTCCGCGTCTTTGTAATTATTTGGTATTTGGAGATCCTTTTCTTTCCACAGCAACCCTGTCTCGAATCTGCCATCCGCCGACCTTCTGCTGGTTTCCCTCAGTATTTGCATAGCTCGCTGCTCGGGATCTTCTTTAGGTCTTCTTGGCTCGATGCACAGTGATTCTAATTTGAAATAATTTTTTATTTCTTCTTCTATTGGCTGTGCTTCTTCCCTTTGATGTAGTCTGCCGCAGAAGGTGACCGTCGATGTCAATGAGCTATGACAGCCATGTAGAACCCAGCCCAGGTTGGTGTATGAGGCGACTGGTTGATCTCGACGACCGACGCGCAGTTTTCTAGACACTATGAGGTGCCAGTTATCTTGCCCGATTAGTATTTTCGGTGAGGCGCGTTCGTAGGTGATATCCTCTTTGATATCTAGCAGATGTTGGCAATTCTTCAAGTGATTTTCATTCACGGATTCTGGCGCGAAGTCCAAACGCTCTACAGTACGCGCTGCTTCTATGTTGTGTTCCTCTTGCGCGTGCTTTCCTCTTATTTTAAGGCTGACGATCTTGCTCTTCTCATGCTTCACCTCCGAGCCAACCCCTTGTATCCACATTGTGTGGGCTGGGCCGTCGGCGCCGATGACGTCAGCTATCGAGGCGTCGACTAAGGTGACCGTGCTTCCTTCATCCAATAATGCATATGTTT